CCAGCTCCTCCTCTGGCTTCTTGAATGATCTTCAACCTTAACTGGTCTGTACGGGGTGCTAAGCTTCACTTGCAATAGCACACGGGCTTTCACAGACGGAGGACAGACACAAGTCCAAGGGTTAAGGGCAGGAGGAAAGCAGGAAGTGGGCCACGGAGAGAGAACAGCCTAGCCTAGGTGGGCATACCTGACGGCCTGGCCTCTATTACATAGCGCGTGATGGGTCCTTTGCCAGGATCTCCGCTGGACCAGTGGATGGCAATGGCTGAGCTGTACCGAACGATGATTGGCACTCCTGGTGGTCCTGGGGCACCTGCAAACACCCCCCAGCAGATAAGGGCATCTGTAGAACCAAGAATAGCCACCCTTCCAACAACCTTGTGCTGGTGGGAGGGGGTTGGACAACCAGACCAGCTCTAGCCACAGCGCCTCCAGGACCCCTGCAAATGCTGTGTCTGAAGAGGGTGTCTAGGCCTGCCAGGGTGTGATGTGACTACCGTTTCCCCTGTTTCCCTACACCCCACATTCCGAATCTCAGGTCAAGGTAGGGTGTAAGTGATGATCAGTCAGAGGGCTGAGGCATTGAAGTGCAGCCAGACCGTATTACATGATCCATTCATGGACTCCTTCAGGGGTGGGTGCCTCAGCTTACCCATCCACGAGGGCCCTTGTGGAAGAAAATCCTGAAAGGAGGAATCATAGTGGGCAGCAGAGGTGAATGAACTGATGGTGAACATGCCCAGAGATGAAGGTCCCTCCAACATCTCCTTCCCTGGCATGGGATAATGCCTTCCCTGTCTCTTACTTGAAATCTCCTAGCCCCACATGCGTGTGCTGTTAGGTTAGGTGGGAGAGAGAGTAGACTCAGGCCCTAGGAAGCCTAAAGAGGAGAACTTAGCGAAAGATATGTCTAGCATACTGAGACGCTGGAGGGGGAAGGTAGAATAAGACCCGGGAGGCAGGTTTCATTGACACAGGACTGGGCTAGGCATCTGTCTATACGGTATCCCCACTACTTCACTGGGAGTGTGCCAGTATAAACCTGGTACCTGCCATGTGACTCCTGCCACGTGTGGTCCCTCCCCACCATGCCTGTTTCCCACTAGACATGGAGTTGGCCATCCCTAGAGCATAGCACACAGTAGGTGCTTTCTATAGGCTCATAGTCCCAGGGGTTGAGGCAACACTGTGTGCATGACTGCAGGCTAGTGGCCTCTGGCTGCCCAAGGGATGAGGGCATGAGTCCAGCATCTCACCAAGGCCCCTCTGGGGCCCAGGAGAGCTGGTCAACTCAGACAGGACACCGGAGGCTCCTCACCCAGCTGGATATCGCCAGGCCCCTATATCCGGTCCTGAAGGCGCAGTTTTGGGGGGTCCCATTTTCTTCCTCCCTTCTTTCTCTAAGGAGCATCCTGCCTGCAGCCCATGGAGGGGAGACACGACCTGAGAGTGGGGTTCAGGCTGTGGTGGCCTTCAGAGTCCTTGCTGTTCACTCTGTATAGGACATTGCTGAGGGAAGGGTGGCCACGGGTTTTCTGCTAAGCCAAGGGCGGCTGGCCCGGCTATTGTCCCTCATAGATCCCTTCTTGCCCACACCAGCTGGGCAAGGTTAGTTTTCTTTCTTGGCACCCTCTATCCCTTCCTACTTCCTGGCCAATAGCTTCCCTACTCCGTACCACTAACTCCAAACCCTTTAAATCCAAAGTTGACTGGTGTCAGATGGCCTGCCCTTTACTTCTCTTTATTAGCCAGCTCTCTCTCTCTCTCTGCCTTCATGTCTCAGGAAGCCTCAGGTGAGAAGCAGAGCTGCGGCAAATGGGCTAGCAGCCTCCCATAGGACTGCAAACCACCTTCTTACCGAGTGAGAGACGGGGAGCAGATGTGGCAGGGTCACCAAGGGGTGACAAGCCACCAGCAGGTAGAAGGCAAGAGAACAAGGGCTCTTCAGCCGTGTTTTTCCAGGGCCCAGAATCACATGGCCTCTGGAGAAAGATCATTATCTGCTGCTGGCTGTGGGGCAGGGAAGGGGGGGGGGAGGAGGTGGCCTTCTAGTGGCCTTCGGAAGGAAGTGGGCCAGCCGGATGCTTCCTCAAGAGAGGGGTGGAACAGCAGGGTTGCTTAGGAGGTGGTTTTCATGTTCAGAGTGGGAAAACCTGAACCCATGACAGGGCCTGTGGAGCTGAAACTCTGACTGCCCCAGGGTTCTGGGTGGAAGGTGGAGGAGACAAAGGTCAGGGGCAGTGAAAGAGGTGATTGGGGGAGGAGCCGAGGGTTGGGCACTGACAGGGAACTAAGAAGTGGCCTTCTGGGTATAAAGGCAGAGGGGAAAGGGGGTCTTGGGTGTTGGAGACACTGGCCTGACTATGAAGAGGAGAGTTACCGGAGGTGTCAATGTTGTCATTACCTCCAGGGTGGAGGTCAGAGGAGATGCCTGCATCTCATGGCAACCAGAACCTCTGTATCCTCCCAGAGAGTGTACATTTGGACAAGTGCTGAGGGGTGAGTCTTCTGCACCCTACTCTGAGAGCCCCTGCTGGGGTGGAGGGAGGGAGAGGGGGAGGCATGCGGAGGTGCTCCTGGCCAGCCCGGAGGAGGCTTGGACACCTGCCAGGCAGCCTGCTTCCTGGACAGAGGTGACAGAGGCTGAAGGTTAGAGAAGAAGAAAGACAATGAAAGCAGGGTGGGCGTGGGGTTCACTCTTGTAAACCCAGCCCTTGGGCAACCGAGGCAGGAGGATCGTAAGTACCAGACCAACCTGGGCTCTATAGTAGTGGGGCAGCCTGGGCTGGTGTATGGGTCTGCTGGTGATGAGAGGTCTGGGCCTCTCCAGGCTTGGGGCTGGAACAGCCTGAGGACTTGGATGCTAATAAGCAAGCCAGGGATGGGGGAGGAGAGTGGAGCTGACAGGAGGAGGGACAAGGAGGGAGGAGGAGTCAGGGAAAGGAAGAGGGAGGGAGGGGGGGAGAGGGGAGGGCCGGGACAGGAGTTAGAAGAGTAAGCTCTGGGCTTCCCACGGTCTTCAGCTCTGGCTCTGGAGCTCTGGGTCCCCTCCTACTTGGAGGGCTGAGGACACAGGGAGGCGTGGCATCTCTCCTACCTTCTCCAGGGCCCGTGGTGATGTTGGCTTCAATCTCAGGCCCGTAGGTGAAGGTCTTGGCTTTGATGCGGAAACGGTAGGTCATGCCCTCAGCCAGGTCCTTCACTTTCAGCCACAGTGGGCTGTTCCCCTTCACGTCCACTGTCACAATCTTGCTGACCCCTGTGGGGAAGGACTGTGAGCAGGGGCTGTAGTCGCTGCTCAGAGCAGAGCAGAGCCACCAAGGCCACTGGCAGCTACTGGGAAGAGGTGACAGTTGTGGCCCCAACCCCTTGAAATCGGTTGAGCTGTCACTCAAGTACATGTGCTGCCAGTGCCGTGTCGGGAGCACGGCTCTGTAAGCGAGCTCAGAAAAGATGGCTCTCTGGTTAAGGTACCAGGAGGAAAGCTATGTCCTGTCTGCCCAACCCAGAAGAGCCACAAAGTCCCCACCCTCTCTCACTTCTATGCCCCACATCAGCCCACCCCCACCCCAACATCCCATAGAACTTGAAATCCAGGCACCCTCAGTTGGGAAGTTCTGTGACGACCACCCCCAGAATTGGAGCTGGATGGCACCTAGTGACTCCACCAACCCCAATTCCAGCCCCACTCCCAGTCCTCGTCCCAGCACTAACCCTATGGTCCTCTTTCCTCTTGGCCAATGAGAGCCTAGTTTCAGGAGCCCCATCATCGGTACCATTTGGCTTTTAAGGCAAAAGTAGAGATGCTTCAGCACCTCAGGCCATGGCAGCCAGGGGCAGGATGGGGGCTTTCACAGGGCGGTACTGTGTGCTCTGGGCTTCCCAAGCCTAAAGTCTCCCTGAGAGTCAGGGTCAGGACTCATTGTGTAAGGTGTCACCACACAGAGGGACAGGCTTTGCGTCCTGGAGTTGGCCTGGTGCCTTCAGCTATGCCTCCAGCAGGCCTCTGTTTATTTTTCCGCTCAGCTGTAGTGTCAGGAGCATCCCCAACAGGGATAAGGAGTCTCACATATAGGGAAAGATCACCAAACACATAGTAGGTACTTTATTTAATTTAATACATTTTTATCTTGCATGTACGGATGATTTGCCTGCATGCATTTGCATGCCGGGTGCCTGAGGAAGCCAAAAGTGGGCACTGAGTTCCCTGAAAGTGGAGTTACAGATGGCAATGACCTGCCACGTGGGTGCTTGGGAATTGGTTCTCTGGAACAGCAGACAGTACCCTAAACTTCTAAGCCATATCTCTAGGCACTATTATTTATTTACTTATTTAGAGACAGGGTTTCTCTGCATAGTCCTGGCTGACCTGGAACTTACTCTGTTGACAAGCCTGGCTTCAAACTCACAGAGATCCGCCTGCCTCAGCCTCCCTAGTGCTGATTTAAAGGTGTGTGCCACTACCTCCAGGCTGGTCCTACTTACTTTTGAGATAGTGTCTCTAGTAGCTCAAACTGACCTCAGACTTGCTATTTAGCTAAGGATGACCCTGAACTCCCGATCTTGCCGCCTCCACCTTCTGAGTGCTGGAATTATAGGCATGGATCACCATGGTTGGTCTATGTGGTAAGGATGGAACCCAGGGCTTTAAGCATGCCAGGCAAGCCCTTTACCAATGGAGCCGCACCTCTGACCCCTATTTACTTACTGAACGACTGCTTTAGACGCTACTGAGCAAACCCTTTACTGGTCTAGATCTATAAGAAAATGGGGTGCTGCTGGCCTGCTCCAGAGCTGTGGCACATGCTAGATGGTGCCCCTTACTTACTAGCTAGGCCATTACATAGAACTTAGAAACCTATAGGGAAATGGAGTTTAGCCAGGTGGTCTAAACCCTGATGGAATAAGACCACAAGAGGCCAAGTACTCCGTTTCTCAGTGGGAGGTCCTCAGGTCAGGTAGAAGCCACTGGGACAGGGGCCTGTCTCGGTTCCCTGCATTTTGTCTTCTTGACCTCTGACCTAGCCCTGCTTCTGACTGCATCTCTCCCCAGGACCTGCTTCCCCCTTGGTTCTGACAGCTTTGCTCTGCGGGACAGGCAGCTGGCACCCAGGTGGTGGCAAGAAAGACTGAGGGCCATTGTTCCCACCGCTGACCCAGAACTGCTAGCTGCCTAATGCTCCCAGGCTCCACCCCTTGTTCTTGCCAGGTTCCAGTGCTGGGCGGAGAGAGTGAGGGGGAGGTGACCACAAAAGTGGTCACTTCCTGCCACCGGGGTGTCACTTCTAAGGCAGACCCAGACACTGAGGAGCCTAGTCCCCTTCTTTCTTGTAAGTTCCTTGTTCTCTTATGATAGCGGCAGGGAATAAAACTGACTTCTGTGGGCTTCTGCTTACCCCTGCCCCATTCCTACCAGCTGGCATTGGGCTATGCTGTGTGAGAAAGTTGGCAGGTACCAGATATCAGCTGTCAGGACTGTCAGTCCGGCCCCAGAAGTGGAGCAGGATCTTGTTGGGGAACTGGGAAGAGCAGAGGCTGAGAGGGACTGGTCTGAAGAAGGCCTGAACTAGGATAGTGTGTGTGTATCTAGTGTGCAGAGCAGGGGTCGAGTGACTGCCCACTCTCACACATCCTCCTGGGGATGCTCCCCGGGCTTTGACTCGATTTCTAAAGGGGTCTCTGACCCTCCAATGGGGGGAGGCTGCTGAGAACTCTCCTGTTAGGAAGGGGGCCAGGATATCATGAGAAGGCCATCAGGGGACTTTTCTTCGAGGTCCTGTCCCATCTTGGGGAAATTATATTTTGCCTGGATTCATTCCCTCTCTCCCCCTCTTCCTTCCTCCCTCTCTCCCTCCCTCCAATGTCCATCCCCTGCCAGCACAGAAGATGATGTGCCTTAGGAGGCTGCTTCGACTTTGTCCTCAGAGGCTTTTGTCTCAGAAGCACCCTTTTCCTGGGTCGAGCCTCTGCCTTCCCATCTACAAGAAGGAAAGACTCTCCCCACCTCTAACTCCCGAGTTGTGATCCTGATATGGTCTCTGGGTGCAAGTCGGCCCTAGATAGGGAAGAGTTCAGGCCATGTGGGAGGTTCCTACTCACCATCCACGGGGGTGCAGGGCTCATACACCAGCCTGTAGCCCTCCAGAGGACCATTGGGGAACTCGGGGGCTTCCCAGGACACATTCACTGAGGTCGTGGTCAGCTCGCTGAACTTGACTGAGCCTGGGGCGCTGGGGGCTGTTGGAGAGACAGCAAAGGGCTTGTGTTTTTCTCTCTTTGTGCAAGTTCAAAGCCTCAGGTTGGGCTCCAAGCAACTAGCAGGAGAGTTTGGGTCCATGCCCGGAAAGAAGAGAGAGTGAAGCTAGGCAGAAAAAGAAGGCAGAAAGGGTCACTTGAGGCCCTTGAACCCTCTCTCCTCCTCCCTTGACATCATTAGCACTCAGCTGTCTAGCATCAGAGGCCCCGGCCGGCCCTGGGACAAAAAAAGCCCTCCTTAAAGATGGGGAGTCTGGATTCTTTCCTATGTGGCTCTAAGTCCTGGCTAGCAGCATGGGACCAGCCACTGCATCCCCAAGGGTCAGTGTGGGGCAAGACCATTTTCTGGCACCGTGGGGAGTGTCTTTCAGCAATCCTGCTAGAGAAGGTGGGGGTGTCTCTGTCTCAGAGTGGGCGCTAAACAAGATGTCAGAACTCCGGAGACATGGCCTTCCTTTCATCCCTGGGCTGCAGGGCTTGTCAAAGAGACACCACGCTGTCAGGAGGAGCCAGGCCAAGGACAGTCAGATCCTCTGGAGGAGATGTTTTCTTGTACTGAGACCCCTGGGGTGAACTCTGAAAACATGGAGATGGACGATTCTGGTGTGTGGCAGTGGGGGTGGGTGGCAGGAAGCATTCCTTTGCTCCCAGCATCCCAAGCTGGTTGGGTGGATGGCCAGGCTATTATTGTCCAGTGCTGCCTCCCACCAAGTCAGAACTAATCTTGACAGCTTCCGGCTTCATCTCCCCTGCTGTCTTTGAAGGGAGGGAGGTGAACTCAGGGTCCTTTCCTGCCCCTCCCCCCCACTCAGGGGTAGGATACGGGACAGGACATTCTGTTCTACTGCTACAGCTCCGGAAGCTTCTAGTGTCCCCGGGGTTCATATTGAGCATCGTTGAGATGGGCCGGCAGACAGACAGATGGAGGCTAGCACACCCAAGTTCAGCCTCTGGCTGAGCTGGCGGAGCCGGTGGAGGAAAGGCTCCTCTGGAGTGGGGGCTTGTCCCAGAGAGGATCCTGGTTAGGAACTGTCTCTGGTAGCTTGCTTTCCTTAAGGGTCATGGGAACCACAGCTAGGGGTGCATTGGGCTAGAAAAGCTGGTTTCGGTTGGCTAGGGCAGAAGGTTGTCCTTTTGCCTTCTGTATCCATAGTCAATTGGATCTAACAAAAATCTGAGGATGCTTGTCATATATAAAATGGTGTCACTTTGGCATATAAGCTACACACATCCTTCTTTTGTGTTGTTGGCAATTAAAGCCAAGACATGTATCGCATCTCTTAGGCTAGGCTAGAGGTACCTCTGAGATCTCCTCTAGCCCCTTCCGTATACTTTCACTCTCTCTAGGTTACTTATGATTCTGGGTGCAATGCAATGTTGCTAAATAATTGTTATGTGGTGTTGTCTATACATTTTCAGTCTAGATACTTTTGTTTGTTTGTTTTTTGAGGCGTCCTTGTGTAGCTCAGGGTGACCTTGAACTTGCCGTGTAGTTGGAGGTGACTTTGATCTTACCTATTTTAAAGGCTTGTTTTTATTTTCCTTTATGTGTATATACGTCTGTGTGTATGTTACATGAGCGCAGGTGCCCTCAGAGGTCAGACAAAGGAGTTGGATCCCCTGGATTGAGGCCGGAAGGTGGTTGTGAGACGCCTGATGTGGGTGTTGGGAACTGAACTCTGCCTTCTGGAAGGGCAGTCAAGTGCTCCTAACCGCCGAGTCATCTTGACAGTCCTGACTTTGAGCTCTTGATCCTCCTGGCTTCCCCTCCAAATGCTTAGATTACAGGGCTGTGGTGCCACACCCAGGCAGAAGCATTTTGGGGACTATTTTCCTTTCTTGCTTGGTTGAATCTGCAGATTTGGAGCTCACGGATTTGGAGTGTTGACTGTTTACGCTGGAACAAGTCCACATTGGAAACAAACAAACAGAAACCCCCTGAACTCCCTTGGATGGCCTTGGTTCCAGCATTTGCTCTTTCCCCTATGGTTTACCAGGGGACCCTGAGCAAAAAGCATGTTTTCTGGGGTGACCCTTGCCCATTGTGAAAAAGAAGGGACACTGCTCTGCTTACCCCGGGACTTACGGGGGGACCCAGTGTGATACTAACCAAAATGGTTTGGGACACCTCATGACAAGAGGATCTGCACCCTCTCTCCTTCCTCTGCCCTGTCCTGTGTCCGGTCCCCACCTGGCCTCTCTGCCTCTCCCCCCTCTCCCTCCAGTCTCCCAGTCCAGAAGGCAGAGCCAGTTTCCCCAAATATAAAAAGATCTACTTCTCAACAGCTCAAAACCTCCCGTGTCTTCCTATTACACTTAATGCAAATCCCCATCCTCCAGACCCTTGGAGACTCACCCCAGTTCCTAATCAGCACCCAGTCCTGTTCTCTAATTCCCTCCAGCCCCCAAGCCTCTGCACCTGCTGGTCTTTCTGACAGGAACCCGGCTTCCTGCTCTGTCTCCAGAACTTCCCACTGCAGTGGGTCCTCTCTCATTCAAATCTCAGATCAGATGTAGCCATCTTGGCCAGGCTACATCTTGTGGGCGGGCCTGTCCAAAGCTCCCCAGCTCATCTGTGTTTGTTTACGATCCGTGGCTCTCACTAGGATGCAGACATTGTTTTTTTTTTTTCTTTTTTTTCTCTCTTATTGTTGCATCACCAGGATGAAGCAAAAGTGTGGGCTCATAGAATATAATAAACATCAGTGGGATGAACAAAGACAAGGAGACAAAAGAAAGGAGGAGGAAGCCAGGTAGGGGCTGGGAGTGGAGGCTAGTCCCAAAGCTGAGACAAGGTGGGTAGAACAGGCTGGGTGAGATCTGGGGTTTGTCTCCAGGTTCGTGGTGAGAGTTTCTTTTTTGTCTTGACTTATGTCTAGAACCTTCTTGGCAGGCTGGGTTCTCTCTCTGCAGGGCATCTGGAAGCGGGGCCTGGCTATCAAACCCAGCTTCCTGGCTGCATGAGACAGCTCTGACACCAGGTGTGGTCTTCGTGTCCCCCACAAACCAACCTCCCCAAGACTTCTCCCTACCTGCTTGCTGAGTCTGGCCTCGGGTGGGGGTGCTCCGTGGCCCATCCCCCGCAGCATTGAAGGCTGCTACGCTGACCATGTAGGCTGTGTAACCTGTCAGGTTCTTGAGCTTCACACTGTTCTCAGCCAGGAAAAGCGTCTTCACCCTCTCGGTGAGGTTCCTCCGCTGAACTTCCCAGAAATAAATCTGTGGGGACCCCAAGGATAGTGGGAGTGAGCAGGGTGAAGACATTAGGTTTCCCCTCTGTCTCTGCCCATCGCAGGGTTCAAAGACACATCTGCCTTCAACCAGGAAGTAGCTAAGAGCTCTTTGAGAAAGGTTCCAGAACTTTCCTTTTAATAGACAATGCCTAGACTGGAAACTGTATATCATGGGTCACTGTGGTTGGTATCTGTAGCATACGACACAGACATGTTAACCTCAGGATAGGAATCTGTCATTCAAGAGTGTGAGCTGTAGAGGTGAGAGCAAACATGGACTCTGTTTCGTGTGTGGGGCACAAGTGCCTGGGAATGCCAGGAAATTGGTGAGGAGCAGAGAGCCTCTGTCCTGACCACATCAGCAGCTGCAGGCTACTAAGACCACTGATGATGCTCATGCACGCACGCGCACACACACACACACACACACACACACACACACACACGCATGCACATTACAGTTGTGTGGTGGTTGTGTATAATCCAAATTTGATACACATAGCTATGCCAGTTTACAAAGCCTGCTGCAGGGGAAGGCTGGAGTAAGATGACATTTGGTTCGAGGCTGAATTCTGATAGCACCATTTGCTAGCCATGTGACTTGGTCAGGCATGATTTCTCTCAGCTACAGAGGGATGGAGGACTCCTACTTTCCAGGGTTTCAGAACCGTAGGCTGTAAGAACTGAAAAAGTGGGAGTAGGGCTTCCCTGGGGAAACTGGTCAGCTTTTAAAGATATGGCATGTTTGTGGAAGATTTTAGGTCCTCGACGCAGCAGGAGCTTCCTATGGAGTCTCCAGGCACTCTGCAACAAGCATGAGTTAGTGCTTTTAAACACACATAGAAGATTCTCAAACTACACTAGGAATGTTGAGCTGGGACCCTCTGTAAAGCCTGGAGTCCCAAACCTTGCACAAGATCAGAGATCTTTTGGCGCCACCTGCTGGCCAAAGAGGTTTCTGTACGCCGTTGGCTTTTCATTTTCTCTATACCAATAAAAGTGAGAAAGAGCTAATAAAAGCGTCCGCCCCCAGCATGTACAAACGGCAGTTAGGACATCTTGTTACTACAAAAGCCTTGCTTTTCTACTACCTTGCCTCCTTTTTTTTCTTGATTCTTTATATGGGGAGTTGCGGTCTTCATTCATAAAATCACTCATCCATCGACTATGAGGCCACTACAGCAGCCACACAGCTTCGGCTGGAGTCAGAGTTCAGAAAGCTCAAGGCTAATCTTATGGATCTGCACACTCCCCCCGAGCGCCAGCAGTTTGCTGAGCATGCCCAGAGGACTGCCTGATTCTTTTAGCCAGAGGCGAGGAATAGATGGAGTCTGGGACCTCTGTGCTGACGTGCTGGGGGAGCTGGAACAGCCATGGAGACTGAGGAGGGGCGATGGGGCAGCGTGAGGAGAAATGGGCAGGAGAAGGCTGTGGCTCAGCTGTGTAAGGTATGCCACTGCAGAGACAGGCAGGGCGAAGCCTGGGATGGGGTTGATGAAGAACAGGGTGCGTTTATCAGCAGCCTCAGCAGGATGAGGTTTGGAGGGGTGGTGGGGATGAGAATCTACTTGGAGTGAGGTTTGGGAAAGTGAATAGAGGGCAGAGAAGGAAGGGCAGTGAGCCTGGGAGACCATCTTTGATTTCCCCCCTTCCTCTCCTGCCCCTTCCTCTCCCCTCCCTCCTGGTCCCTCTCCCTCTGCTGAAGATGAAGCTTAGGTTTTATGTATACTATATCATGTCTGTGTATCACCGGAGCAGAGTAAACTGTCGTCAAGCACTTTAAAGATGAGCTACGTCCCCATCCCACGGATGATGGCCTTGAATTCTCCAGTAAATGGACCAAGCGAGGAAATAATGAGACATGAACAAAAACATGAGGTTAGAAAAGGGCATTAAAAGACGAAATAAGGGCCGGGCGGTGGTGGTGCACGCCTTTAACACTAACACTCCAGAGGCAGAGGCAGGCAGACGTCTGTGAGTTCAAGGCCAGCCTAGTCTACAGAGCGAGTTCCAGGACAGCCAAGGTTGTTACACAGAGAAACCCTGCCTCAAAATCCCCCACTCCTCAAAAAAAGGGGCAGGAGAGATGGCTCAGTGGTTAGCAGCACTCTTGCAAAGGACCTAGGTTGGTTCCCAGCACCCATATCTAGTGGCTTACAACTTCCTATAACTCTGGTTTGAGATTTTATGCCCTCTTCTGGCTTCCTTGGGTTCCTGAACGCACATGGTAGACACAAACTCATGCCGACAAACACATATTTTATGTATAAAAATACTAAACAATGAACAAAAGAAGAAACAAATTTCAGAAAGCCTTTATGACCTTCTGTGGGTGAAAGGCCCCAGTGGGAGATACTCAGTGCTTCTGGGGGGACAAGGTTGATGGCTAGGAACCATGCGCTTGGGCAGGGCAGTGTCAGGGTGTAGCACATACAGAGACAGGGCACCTGTTTGCCGCCAGTAGACCTTTGTAAGACGAGGATACACAGTAAAAGGGACAAGGGGGGTAAGTCTGGATCCCGGTTCCCAGTTCCCTGGTTGATGGGTAGAGTGCCCACTCACAGGGAAGTGGGTATATACCAGGCTGAGGGCTCCAGAAGGAACCCCACTCCATCTGGCTCCTCTGTGTCTCGGGCACCTAGAATCACACCTGACACATGGTTGACGCTCAACAGACCTATGTCATGTGGGGCGATACCTGATACAGATAGGGGCTGGAGCGGCAGTCAATAACCCTGATTCCTATTCTTATCTACTTGTTTTTATTACCAGACCATTTCCTTTTTCTTTTTCTTTTTCTTTTTCTTTTCTGAGACGGTTTCTCTATAGCTTTGGAACCTGTCTTGGAACTCATTTTGAAGATCAGGCTGGCTTTGAACTCACAGATATCCGCCTGTCTCTACCTCCCAAGTGCTGGGATTAAAAGTGTGTGCCACCACTGTCCGGCCCCAATTCCTTTAAAAACTTTTCTGAGGTATAGTTGACAAAGTTTTAATGTAATAAAGATATATAATTAATGTCCTTATTTATTTATTGCTGTTGTTTATAGTGCTAGAAACAGAACCTAGGACCTTATGTATGCTAGGCAAGCATGCATCATTGTGACTTTTTAATTTTATTTTATTTTTGAGGCAGGGACTTCTGTAACCTGAGCTGTTCTTGAACTTTTTTTTTAATATTTATTTATTATGTATACAATATTCTGTCTGTGTGTATGTCTGCAGGCCAGAAGAGGGCGCCAGACCTCATTACAGATGGTTGTGAGCCATCATGTGGTTGCCGGGAATTGAACTCAGGACCTTTGGAAGAGCAGGCAATGCTCTTAACCGCTGAGCCATCTCTCCAGCTCCCTGCTCTTCAACTTTTTATGTGACCTGGAGCCACTACCTCCAAAGTGCTGGGATTAAAGGTGTACACTGCCACAACTGTTTCAGGCCTGCTGAGGGTTGAGCCCCGGGAATCATGCATGCTAGGCAAGCACTCTACCAGCTGAGCCAAACCCACAGCCCCCCCCCCCCCATGTTTTGATATCCACAGAACCAGTGGAACATCGTCACACCAAGCTAATTGGCATCCATCAGCTCAGACAGTTAGCTTTTCTCATGCGCAGTGAGAAGCTTGAAGAGCTAGCTTCTCCGGGTATTTCAGGTACACACTACAGCTTTATTAGTCATGGCTAAAGTACTGCAAGACCCACGAGCTTAGATGCCTGAAACTCTTTTGGCTAAGGGTTGTTTTTGATTTCTGTGAGATAGTCTCACTGAAACTCACGAAGGCCTGGAACTCAACCATGTAGCTCAGGCTGGCCTGGGATCACTCCAAGAGGAACTTGGATCCTCTTGGATCCTCCAATAGGAACTTGGAGTGATCCTCTGCCTCAGCCTTCTTAGCGCTGGGATTAAAGGTATGCACCACCATGCCTGGCTTAAAATGTTTACCCTTTGACCAGCATCTCTCCAGCCCTTCCCTCCTCTGGCAACCACCTTCTACTTCCTGGTCACATGACTTAGACTACTCTATTTGTTATTGTTGTCCATGGACTCTGATGTATAAGTGAGGTCACGCAGACCAGTCTTTCTGTGTTTGGCTTATTTCACTTAACACCATGTCTTCTGGGTTCATCCAGCTTTGTGGCAGGAAAACAAATGGACCTTTCCCAAACGAAAGAAGACAAATAAATGGCTAAGAGGAACCTGGAAAGCCACAATGACCAGCTGTGCACCGTGACACGTGGCTATAATCGCAGCACTTGGTGGAGGAGGTAAGACAATCAAAGCTAAATTCCATTCTTAGCCATATGGTGAGTTGAGGACCAGCCTGGGTTACATGTGACCCTGTCTCAAACAAAGCAAATTGCAAGGGCCTGTCCTGTAGCACCTACGGTGGTGGCTGTTGTCAAGATGTCAAAAGAAAACCAGCCCTACGGAGTGAACTTAGAAGCCTCCCGTGCCATTGCTGAAAATGCAAAATGGCACAGCCACTGTGGGAAACAGTCTGGAGTTCTTCAAAGAAAATTAAAAATAGAATTGCCATATGATCCAGCAATCTCATTTCTGGGAATGTATCCAGAAGTATTAAAATCAGGATCTTGAAGAAGATATTTATACTCCCGTGTTCACCGCAGGAAGATCCACAGTAGCCACGATGTAGAAAACCCAGGCACCCTATTGCATACCTGTCACCCGGCACTTGGAAGTAGAGGCTGAGAGTCGTAAGTTCAAGGTCATCCTCCAATACATAGCTAGTTTGAAACCAGCTGGAGTTAACCTAAGACCCTGTCTCAAAAACAAACACAAACCAAAATCCTCTTCTAAATATTTGTCAGTGGGCGAGGAGACAAACATGGTGCTTGTGTGCATAGACAGTGGAATATCATTTTGCTTTAAAAGGAGGCAATCCTGCCACTTGCAGTAACACGGACTACATTGTCCTCTTGTGAGTTTCATGCCATCTCTAGATTGCTAAGAACACCTAACGCGAGGTCAAGGCTACGTAAGCCGTTGTCTCAGCACAGTGTCTAGGGAATAACAACAGGGAACAGGGAACATGTCAGACCCAACATTTCCCTCCAATGTCTATGATCCTCGGCAGGCTGACTCCACGGCCTCAGGAGAGCCTGTGGGAATAGACAGCTGTACTCCCCGGCCCCTGCCCTTTCTCTCACTTCACTCCCAGGAGGGCACTGAGATGGGAAGCTGAAGGGACCAGGGGGACTCTGCTGTTTCCTATTGTCCTGACGCTGGTTGTTTCTCCTGTCTTTATTTATTTATTTTTTCCTGGAGAGGAGGGAGGCAGTGCCGTGGATGGAACCCAGGGCCTTGTGCATGGTAAGCAGTAATTCTATCACTAACGTTCTCAGACCCTTTTGGTTTGTTTACTCTGATATAGTCCCATGTAACCTGGCACAGCCTTAAACTAGCTGTATGGTTGAGGAGGGCTTTGAACTTTTTTAAAAAAATAATTTATTTTCTTTTTATGTGCATTGGTGTTTTGCCTGTGTGTCTGTGTGAGGGTGTTAGGTCTTGCAGTTATGGACAGTTGTGAACTACCATGTGGATGCTGGGAATTCAACCCAGACCTCTGGAAGAGCAACCAGTACCCTTAATCTCTGAGTCCTCTCTCCAGCATGGAGTTTGAATCTCCCTGCCTGCCCCTTCAGAATACTGGGATTATGGATGTGCATCACCACAACGAATTTATAGCTGTTGTTTCTATTTTATTCTGAAATTTTAGTTATATGTGCATGTGTTTGTATGTGTGACTGTGCACATGAATGCGGGTGCCTGTGGGGGTCAGGGGAAGGCGCCAGAGCTCCTGGAGCTGAAGTTATAGCCAGATGTGGATGCTGAGATATGCAGTGAATGATCTTCACTAATGAGCCATCTCTCCAACTTCACTCCTGTTATTTTGGAGTAAGAGTCTTGATAGGTAGCCTAAGCTGGCCTTGAATTCACAATTCTCCTGCCTCAACTCCACTTTCCACTCCAGTACTTGATGATGGGTGTGTACTGCCATGCCTGGCCCAGTGGCTCTCTTTCCATCCATCCACCCACTCATCCATCCATCCATCCATCCATCCATCCATCCATCATCCACCTACTCACCCATCCATCCATCCATCCATCCATCCACCCACCCACCCACCTACCCACCCACCCATCTACCCACCTACACATCTACCCATCCATCCGTCCATCCATCCATCCATCCATCCATCCATCCATCCATCCATCCATCCATCCTCCACCTATGCACCCATCCATCCATCCACTTACCCACCCACCCATCCACCCACCCACCCACCCACTCACCCATCTACCCACCCACCCACCCACCCACCCACCCACTCACCCATCTACTCACCCACCCATCCACTCATCCATCCATCCATCCACCCACCCACTCACCCACCCACCCACCCATCCATCCATCCATCCATCCATCCATCCATCCATCCATTTTTTCCCATTAATTTTCAAGACTGTAACACTGGCTGGCCTTGAACTTAAAATTCTCCTGTCTCAGGCTCTCTTACCATCTGGACATGAATTACAGGCATGAACCGCCATGCCTAGCCTTAATGGTTCACTTTTTAATTAATTAGTTAAAAATTGAGACTCACCACATGGCCCTGGATGGCCTGGAACTCACTACGTAGATGAGGTTGGCCTCAAACTCACAGCAATCTGCCTGTTCCTGCTCCCTGAGTGCTGGGATTAAAGGTGTGTGCACCCACGGCTCTGCTGGCTCTCTTTAGGGCCAACTTGACTATATTTATTTTTTCTGCAGAGGACTAGCTGATCAAGGTTTTAGGGTTCGCAGACCTCTCAGCCTCTGCTGCAAATATTCAGGTCTGCTCAGCACCTTCTTGTGCAAAAGTAGCCATGGCAATTTGTAAACACATAGGCATGGCTATAGCCCAACAAAACATTACTTATGCAAAGACAGCGGGTCAGATTTGGCTTATGGGTTACAGTTAGTAGGCCAATCCTGTTAAATTGAATTATCTGGCCTAATTCTAGGATATTTTTTTTTCTTTTTTTCTGGATAGGATCTCACATAGCCCAGAGTGACCTCAAGCTCACTAGGTAGCCAAGGAAGAAAGGATGATCTGGAACTTCAGAACCTTCTGTTCCTGCCTCCTAGTGCTAGCATTACAGATGTGCACCGTCATGCCTGGTTTATGCTAACTGCAGACTGAACCCAGGGCTTTGGGTCCAATCAATTTAACTACATCCCCAGACCCTCTGATATCTTAGATAAAACCAATCAAGATCCACAAACTGGGGCTCAAAGGTTAAGAGCACTGACTGCTCTTCCAGAGTTCCTTAGTTCAATTCCCAGCAACCACGAGGCAGCTCATAACCATCTATGATGAGGGCTGATGCCCTCTTCTGGTGTGCAGGCAAGCAAGCAGACAGAACATTGTATTATAAAAAATAAATAAACCTTAAAAAAAATCCACACACCATCTGGGTTGTAATCCTCTCTTAGCACCCCGAAAAACTGCTCCCCGGGCTGTACCGGCTCTGTCTCGCACCAGGAGCTGACAATTCTCGTTTCCCTCCCCTCAGAAGCAGTTTCTCCTTTGCACTCTGAGTCAGCATCATTCAGGCTCCCCCTCAGGGCTCAGGTTTGGGTATTTGTTTTCCATCTGTGTCAGCGCACAACCTACATGCTGAGCACTCTACAGTGCACATCTCTGGGGCGGAGCCTTTCTCCTAAGCCCCACTACAGATTCGTAGTCTCTCTTGGCGGCCAGCAAGACATTCTGAAGTGGAAGCCAGACTCCAGGTCTCCCTCAGCTCCCTCCTCCTTTTCCTTCCCTGTGACCGAGGTTCCATCTTCCTGATGCTCCCTGGCTGTGGGGCTGTCCATGTTCCCGCTTCTTCCCTCACACCAGGGTCATCTGTCAGAATCTACCAGCGCCACCCACTTCCCCTTCTTCTTCCAGGGACTCATGTAGCCTAGGCTGGCTTTGAACTTGCTATGTAGCAAAGGATGATCTTGAACTTCTGATGCTTCTGCCTCCGCCTCCTGAGTGCTGGGGTTACAGGTGTTTGTTGCAGGTGTCACACACAGGTGTTACAGGGGTTATAGGTGTGCACCGTCACAGCTGGATATATGGTGCTGGGGGCAGAGCCCAGGATGTCACACATGCAAGGTAAGCACTCTGGCAGCTGAGCCCCCCGCCTGCAGCCTGGATGCAGATGTGGACACATCAGGTCCCGTCGATGGGTGCTGAATGCCACAGCACTGATTAGCTCGCATCGAGGACACAACAGTTCTATCCCTAACTTCAGACTCATGTATTACTTATATTTTCTGGAAGCTGAAGGCATTTGCTGTGTTCTCTATGATACCTGGGCACCCACACATTTCTTGGATCTGTAGTTCAGTTCACAACTTTTAAACCTCAATAGTCTGGTGACTGTCACACTGTGGCTGGCTCCACCTGACACCTCTTTTCCCTCCAGAGGCATATGCTATGGATGCAATATTTTGTCTTCCCAGCTGGCACTCCTGGGCAAAGCCTTGAGGGGGTATCACCCATCTTCAGAGCTTCCTTGGCATAATGCCTCCCTCCCCCTTCTTTCTCCTCCTCCAGCCTGGATGGAAAAGCTTCCTATGGTAGGTTTCGCCTTACATCAGGGTGGCCTGTCTCCACAGGTTGTGTGACAGAGAACAGTGCTTCACCTTGGTGGACTCTCATTGTCATCTGTGGAATGACAGGCTGGGCCAGCAAAGCCATTGGATCCTGTGGTTTGCATACCCAGTGCTCCCAGGGCCACTGCATGGGGTGAGTTTTCTGAAATACCATCCAAATATCAGGAACCAGTCTCCCCCAGACACTGGCTAGGGAGGCAAGCTTCCGTCACAGCCAGGGGCTGTGTGCTCTAAGGAATGAGGTTGGTTAGCTCTTTATTTTTCAACACTCTGCCTCCTCCCAGGACCTGGCCATGTGCTCCACACTCTGTCTCCTCCCCGGACCTGGCCATGTGCTCCACACTCTGTCTCCTCCCGGGACCTGGTCATGTGCTCCACACTCTGCCTCCTCCCAGGACCTGGCCATGTGCTCCACACTCTGCCTCCTTCCAGGATCTGGCCATGTGCTCCACACTCTGCCTCCTCCCGGGACCTGGCCATGTGCTCCACACTCTGCCTCTTCCCCAAGACCTGGTCATGTGCTCTGCACTCTCCTCCTCTGGGACCCGGTGTGTTTTCTGCTTTCTGGCAAGGTGGAGTTGGGCACTGGATTCTAATACCTGTTAGTTTGTGACCTCTCCAGACCACATCAACTGGGCCACAGTTTCCTCATCCATAGAAAATGGACCTTAATGGCCACAATGTAGCCTCCAGCAGTTTAGAGGGTTCTGCAGATAACGAACCCCACCATAATAACACAGCATCCTGAATCAGAGACGGCCTTCAAGCCGATTTTCAAATATTGCCAGTGGTGCTTGGCAAACTGATCATCTAATCAATATCAGGGCCTAAGAACCCGTAAACTTTTAAAAAGTTTTTTTGAGACAGAGTCTCATGTAGCCTAGGTTGGCCTGAGACCTTGAACTCCAGTCCTTCTGTCTCTACCTCCCGAGGGCTGGGGTTACACAGACCACATCTGGCTTATGTGGTGCTGTGGTTTGAACCTGGGGTTTTGTGCAGGCGAAGCAAGCCCTCTACCAACCAAGCCACATCCCCAGCCCCTACTCCTCAGAACTCTTAAGTGGCTGAGGGGCTGGAGGTGGTAGAGCTGTGCACTGTGTGCCTTAGAGCAGAATAAGCCGAGGTGTGGTCTGAGTTCCTTGGACCAAGCTCAGTCCGCCTCAGAATGTAAGTACATTCTACAACACCACAGTATTTACTTCCGTCAGCTGTGCGGAT